AATCGCGCTCGGCCATGCGCTAGATTCCATGTAGGCGGCTGTGTCGAACGGAATTTTACGATTCCAAGAACAAATAGTTATAGTGTCTATATACGGTGAAGGGCTGCACACGTACGCGCGCTACAATAATGTAATAATGTGTCTATTGTCGCGCGCAAGCGAAATGTCTCCATATTTTAATGTATCTGTCTCGGCCAACGAGCAAGAGAGCTCGTTTACATAAACACACACGTACGTGCCGCAAGTATGTAGGGAGTAAACTCCACTACTTATACTACAACGATATAATTACAAGAGCTTCAATCAGCGGTCGGAGGTTAAAAAAAGCGCGATTATGCGAACTTGGCAAAATCAACGCACGTCGAGCAAAAGTCAGTTACACTTTACTTACCAACAACTTGCTCTTTTTATTTCGGGTCTTCACTTAAAAATTGTATCGGATTTCTCACCTAGATAATCGTTAGATAATCCTTAGATTTTGCATGCATAATTCATAATTGTGAAAACTCGTGCTCGTAATGAGTCCGCCGCAATAACGCAACTGCAGTAGCAGCGAATTACAGAAAATTCGATCGGCTCTGTATAAAATAATTGATAAGCGATCCCCGAGAGCTTCTCGAGCTGAGAGCGAGTACGCGTTTGAAAATAATATTTAATGGATTAGTATTCAATATGTGCTTCAATATGTAACTTTTATGAATTTTGCATGTATTGCAATGTGATTTACTTAGATGGTGGATCTTTATAGATCCCAACCCGCCAAATCATTTAACACACTCGCACGAGGAAGAGCCTCATCATACATTCACGTATTCTCTCGTACGCACTGGCGTATCCAAAATCATACGAATCGCATTGCCGAATACGACTACGACGACTTTTGACCTCTGATCAATATTTATGCTCATAATAATATATTTATGTACTTTCATTTGAGTATCGTTATTCGTTTCATTCGATACACGCCCCCGATCGAGTTTATTAAGACTGTACGTGAAACCTCTTTACTGTCTGCGCGACGAAGCTTATATACATCGTCGAAAATTTGAAATAATTTTCTAAATTTGGATCTCGATTTCTGCCGTTTGTAATATACACGAAAGAGTACATTGGACGAGACGGGGGCAGAGAGAGAGAGAGACAATTTCGGTAGTATGCTAAAACATCATAATGTTTCGTATACTTTTTTTCACTCCCCCCGAGACTGCATAGATAATTTAGAGCATCCGGCTCGTCGAGTATAGCTCCTCGGAGTCGACGCTCATTTTTTCTTCATAACGTACAAAATGTGTCAGATTTAGCGACGACGACGACGACTCTTGCATGCATATACGAACGCGCTCAATAAAAAGTGTCCCGGGGTAATCGAGGAGCGAAAAGTGCGAATAAAGATGCAACACGATCGAGCGATGTGTATCTCCGCAATGTATAATAATAATACAACGGGCCGCGTATACCGTCGTACGTATATCTCGGCTTTAGCGTAGCGTTAGCTCGTCCGAGTCCGTCATCGGCTCGTCGTGTGTTTTTGTTATTTTTATACTTGCTCCTTTTTTCATGCTGCTATGCCGCTGCTGCTACTGCTGCGGCGGGCTGTGCTGCTGTATAGCTGCGTTACTCTGCCTCGCTACGAGCAATTATTTTTAAACAACACCAATGCACCTCTTGTTTCAGATTGCTCTCGCTCTCTGTCTCTCTCTGTCTTTCTCGCAATGACGACGAGCAGAGCAAGGGAGAGAGAGAGAGAGAGAGAGTGAACGTATGTTTTTCCAACTACTATTACTAGAGAGCTCTTGTGCCGCATCGAAAATAATTGTGGGCCACCAGGCAACGACGCGCAATGAGAGCTCTAGCGCTCTTTCCTCTATATGTGCGCGGACTCGTTTGGTGCACACGCATATACGAGTTATGCGCGTCGGTAGTTGAAGCGGGGTTGGCCACGCGAGCCTAATCAAGCTTTTGCCTCGTATACGCGTCTATGTGTGTGTGTGTATATAATCCGTGTTATAACGAGCGCGCGTTAGGCTACTTTGCGTCGGCGTTGTATTACTTCACGCGCCGAAAATATACAACGGCGTGCGCTCGGTACACCCCGCGAGGAGACCGAGTTGCCGTACGCGTAGGCGCGCGCGCGCGCGAACCTATATTATACACACACACACATTTACAGCCCCATCCATTGGCTACTGCTACCGCTCGTAAACACGTTATATTTATTATTGCCCCGCGCGAATCATCGCGTTGCGCGGACTTTCCTGCTCGTTTATGCCGCTTATACCGCTCCGCTAATGCTGCAAGCCCGACGACGACGACGACGACGACGACGACGACGACGAATTTGAAATTTAAATAATTACGCGCGCGGATATTGCGCAACGATCGTCGTGTGCAAGTGCGCCTATGTGCTGCGTGTACACAGAGAGTTGCACCTTATTATACACGCAGGGAGGGCATAATAATGCGTGTACAAGTGACATCGATCGCGACGCGCAAAACAATAACGATGACTTTGTCGCAAGAGTACATTTGCGCTATACGCACACGTACCGTAACATTACGTTCAAATATATGTATATGCGTAATTGCGCTTGTGTACATGAATGCGATTACAATAACGTTATATAGAGGCGTAAACAAGTGAGTCGTGTTGAGGCGATCGCGCGGAGAAAGCATATAGCAGCAGCAGCAGCAGCTCGCTCGACAGACAGATAAGGCGGCGGAGCACACAGCACACAGAGAGGCAGCCGGACACGCCGTATATTGCTCGTAATAATAAATACAACGCCGAGCTACGCGTGTACAACACAGATATAATTTGTAATGAAAGCTCATCATCATCGTCGTCGTATGCTATATAAAGTTCGCAATAATCGTTTTCATAGAGGCTTGTTACACGTATTATATATTATAATGAGACTCGCGGCTTATCTCGAGTCCAAGAGAATCGACCCGCGTCTTGTGTATGTTCCCCTCGCGCGCCCGAAACTTAATAGAGAGAGAGACACTTTCTGCGGACTCGTTCTTCTCTTCTCTCTCTCTCTCTCTATATTAAACGTAAGCGTACAATAATATTTTAGGAATATAAGTGTAAGCTGCGTAATGTAATATCAATCGATGTTTTAAGTCGACGTTAGCGCATATGATTTCCGCTCGTGCACTCTAATGTCTCTCTCTGTCTTTCGCTCTTTTACGTCATCGCGCGCGGCTCTGATTCTGCCGTATATATATTGTGCGCCTCTCTCTGCACGCGTATTGCTTTTCCGGTGTGTGTTGAGCCGTGCACATTAATTATATATACAGACCGACTCGCGAGCGAGCGCGAGCACACACGCGCACGTACACACATACACACGTGCGATCGCGCGCTCTTGCTGATGGGGTATCGAGTGGCACGTATCATACGCTCTCTCTTTCTGCTTTTATTATATCAAAAAAAAAAAAAAACGAAGAGAAGACAGAGAAAAAGAGTAAGAAAAAAAAAAGAGTTAGCCGAAGAAAAATGTTATATTTAAGAAGAGCAGCGTTTCCTTAAATATAAAGAGGACGCTTGCTACTAACTAAGATTCGACAAAAATTTATCGTTTGTCGTCGCACTTGAATTTTACATTTATAGAGAGAGAGAGCAAAGTGTATGTATACAACTCGCACCACCGCCCGCCCGCCGCCCCCCGCGCGTACACAGAGAGAGAGAGAAAGAGTCGAGCGAATTCAAAAATATATTATGTATGTGTGTGTGTGCTGCTATACAAGCGCACGTACTACAATTATTTATAGACCGGAACATGAGCCTTTTTATTTCGATATCATCACCTCGAGCTGCTCTCGCAGATCTTGGCGCGCACTCGGGGAAAAAGTTAAAGAGAATGAGAGAGAGAGAATGAAAGAGATTACAAGCCTGACACTTTTTTCCGCGACGATTCTCTCTCTTATGCTCTCTCTCTCTCTCTCTCCTTCTCGACATATCAAGTAGTACAGCTTTTAGCAGCGATACGCGCCGCGAAAAGCATAAACGAGGAAAGAAAAGCACGGCCGCGGGGCAGCGCAGTCGACGTGGAGAGATCTAATTTGCACTGTATGACGCTTGCACATTATTACATTAATACATTATACATATAAGGTAGATCACGACTCGATCGCGTGGGGGCCTATATACATCGAACAGTCTCATCCGAATGTTGCACACATATTTTATTTATTATTTCGTTGGCCCGGCAGCAAATCGGAGTACATAAGTAAGTACGTGCAACACATACACAGACACACACAACGCACAGAGAGTGAGTATATGAGAAATTTCTGCGTGTAAGTTGTATATGCTGCACTGCTCTCGGACTGTTGCTGCTGCTGCTGCTGCTGTGTTGCTGCTGCGTGATGATATCGTATCATTAACCGGGAGCCCCCGGATTACACTTGGTCAACGCGCAAATAGCTTCGCTATACTTGTATATTCGTTACATGCGTAAATAATCAAGCTGTGCGTGAGTGTGTAAGTGAGCAGCGAGTCATACTACATATTATTATTTTATTTTATTTTATTTTATTTTTCTTTTTTGGAATTACATCGAATTCGCGTGCGCGCGAACCCGTATTATACGCGCGCTCGTTTATATTATATTATATATATTGTGACCCACGCGAGAGTCCGTTTCGCAACAACAAGCCTCATCATCATCATCGTCGTCGTCGTTGCCGTCGTCGTTTTAATACACAAAAAAATTTAATGCCTCGATTTTTTCGTCGCGCGTGCTGCTGCTATTGCTGTTTTATACACGATATATACACTTTATGCGGCTTGTGGGGCGATGAGTTATGCGCGAGGCGCCCGCGAGCGAGTCACAGCGCCAGAGCCGCCACACATTCGAGCCGCGAGCGAGAGAAACGGCACCCGATATATATATTTGCGCGCTAATACATAACCAGTAGTAATTAACGTGCATAAGTGCAGTAATCGATATACGTAAGATCACTAAAGACGTTCTCGTGCGTTCATCTGCTTGCAGGATTATTGATGCTCTACTTTGGTGACCGCGACGACGAGTGACACGAGTGCAAAAACACACCACAGGTCTCCGCGAGTCTCTCACTGCAACACAGGGAGGAGAAAGGCAGTGCGAGGCGAAGAAGAGGAGGTGGGCGGGTGTGCGTACGTGCACGCGAGTCACGATAGCACCTCTGGTGCCTACGGCCGTGGACCCCGGTAAATCGGGCGCCATGGCGGTCGCTACGACTTCCGCGCAGGGCGAGGCGCCTCACGCCCTCTCGTCGGTCGGTGGCGGCGCCGCCAGCAGCATGAGCATGAGCAGCAGCATCATCAACGACGCGCCCGAGCAGCAGTACTCCCTCAGATGGAACGACTTCCCGGCCTCGATGATCTCCAACTTCAGGCACCTAAGGGACCACCTGGACTTTGTCGACGTCACCCTGGCCTGCTCCAAGAACACCAATTACCTCGCGCACAAGGTCGTCCTCTCGGCCTGCAGTCCCTACTTCAGGTCCATATTAAAGGTGAGTCTCCTCTTTTTTTTTTCTGTTTTTGTTTCCTATCGTTAATTAGGCTTGTCCAGACGAGCGCGTAAAAAAACAAATAGTCGAGCCGATCGAGACTCACTACTATACGCTAATCAGTTGACCGAGTCGCGGCCGAGCTTATCTGAGCGCGTCGCATCGATTGTTTTTATCTCTCTCTCTCTCTCTTTCACTCTGCGTCTTCTCAAAGCACGTGCCGTGCCACACCAAAGTGTCAGAGGTCCAAGTCGCTTTTGTCATTTTTCTCGCATCTCTCTCGTCGCCGTGGAAAGAGGAGGAAAAGAGAAGAAGCTCGGATCTGCGAGTGCGCTGCTTACGATGCATGCGCGAGTACTGCACGAGCAGCTCTCTATTCTGGTCTGGTCGTCAACGACGACGACGACGATTCGTCCGAGTGAGCTTGCACAAGTCGCGCGTGTTCTGCACGCGGACCACAGAGCACACATACGGTGTTTGTGTGTACTTCGGTCTGCTGCTCTACATTCTATTATTAAAAGTGCAGGCGCCCTGCCGTTTTCTTCTTCTTCTTCTTCCTCTCTCTCTCTTTCTCCCCATATTGCACACACGCATTACATAGCCTCTCTCTCTCTCTCTCTTTCACTCTCACTCTGGCCGTCACACCTGTTTTCTGGTGCTGCTGGTGCTGCTTTGCGCTGCAACGCGCGCGGCATTACTACGAGCAGCAGCAGCCCCGACGCGCGCACAAATCTTCATTGCGAAACTTGGTCCATCTATTTTTACGGCCGGCTTGGTGTACGCAGTGCACTGCGCAATTATACCATTTAGTGCCGCTGTTGCTGCTGCTGCTGCCGCTCAAAAACAGCAATAGACACACGCTCCCTTGCGTATTATTACATGCAGCACGAATCTCGATCCGCATCCATCTCTCTCTCTCTCTCTTGCTTGATTTTTTTCGACGTTTCTCGGAATTACGTGCGCGCACGTAACGAATAAGAAAAAAAAATCGGCACTCTAGGCTAGTTAATACGACGCGCGAGTCAGTCGAGTAGAAGTATATACGCATATATATAGAGAGATGCGCGAGGCACGCATATTCGCACGCATTTTTTTTTTCTCATGGACGCCCGAAACTTAATCCTCGATCGAAAAAAGCCATTCGGCAAGAGAGAGAGAGAGATGCTTTATCTTTGCACTTCATTTACTCGTACTGGAACCTGTCGCCGTATTTGCATATATGTTAATTTTTTCTTTCGGTATATATATGTGCGTATATTATGTACGCCCGTGTCTCGTGAGCCACAGCACGATCATCAGGATTCACCGCGATTTTATATTTCTTGCGGCCTCTTCCTGCACACAGACACAGACACACGCTCGAGAGAGCATATATCGAGATCTAATAATATTAATCGCGACCCTTTGTCGCTCGAGACTCCTTATAAAAAAAAAAAGAAACAGCCTCGACGAGTTAATCGTCCGCTTGACCTTGTGTCCGAATTCAATCCGAATTGTGTGCTGCATCGCGTCGTTGAAACGAGAGAGAAATTGCTTATTCTCGAGATTCTCGCTCGCCTTGCAATTAGAGCAAAGCGAATTTCCAAAATATTCACGCTTGTACCCAAATTCATCCCAAGCAATTAGAGTAATATCGTGATTTGGCAAAAAAAAAAAGAATCAATCTTGCTTGCTCTCGTTAGCTTTCTCCACATTGTACGCTGTTTGTGCGAAAAATGTAAGTAAAGAGGTCGCAGGTAGTAGTAGTGGTGGTAGTACTTGCGTCATTAAACGCGAATCAAATCAAACGTACGTTGTCGTCGTCGTCGTCGTCGTCGTCGCTGGCGCGCGCATTTTAATGGAATTCCAATGCAGGCGCAATCGTGCAAAAGGCGTGCGTATACTCGTGCGCGCGCTGGGGCTTTTATGCAAGTACTCTCGGAGCCTCTGCACTCGCACACAGACGTGTGATGTATATAACGAGTTTCGCGTGGGTGGCTTAGACATGTACGTACGTACGTACGTACAGTGAGCAATGCAGAAAGAGGAGTAGTGTCTAAATTAGATGTATCATAATAGCACGAAGCCTAGCGCGATCGGATCGATTCTCGTTTCGCTTCGTTGTTTTTTTTTTTATTATAAGCTGCTACTCGATCAATTTCATTGACTATGTGTCGCAATGTATAAATACGCACACACGTGATATTATAAAAAGCCGCTAAAAATATGGACACAGGATGCTGCTGTATACGGTGGCTCTTCTCACGCAGCATACATATAACAACGCGCACACGGGGGCCCCAATGACGAATATTCCTGCCTGGCAAATATAATTTTTTATTCTCTTTTTTCCTTCGCTCACTTATTCTCTTACCTTATAATACATAGTACTTAATTCCTTTCGCATTATTCGCTTTATTAACGGCAACATATTATATTGCCTACGTTATAATCTTACGAAATATTCCGATGTAGCATACAGCCGGGCTCTGCTGCGTCCTCAACGTCTTTTTTTTTTATTTCACTTTTTTTTTTCATTTTTTTTTTTTTTTTCATTTTAATTGTCGGATCCGATCAGTGAACAATATTTATTGGAATCTGTTCCTTTCTAAATTCGCAAAATCCTTTACGCTCAGCGAACATGCGTGCGTGCGGTAAGTAGAGGGGAATAAAACTACGGAGAGAGAGAGAGAGAGAGAGAGAGAGAACTCGTTTTTTATGACTAGTAACATTATTCAAAGTCTATATTTACATCGCATGTCCGTGTATATCTCTCTCGGTACCGATCGCGCGCGAAGAAACGAACGAAATCCAAATTTTTCTTCTCCCAGGCCGCCGCCGCCGCCGACGACTCTATCGGTTTCGATTATAAAATTAAAAATCTATTATTGTGCGTCTCGCGTAATACAGCGGCTCTGGGCTGGTGCGCGCGCGGGGGAAGCTGCCGCGCCTGTGCAGAATTGCAGCCCGCTTATTTTTATCTTATAATACACGCACGTATAGCAGTAGTACGCCGGGCTTATTACACGACGGAAGTCGCGAGCGGCAGACGATCGCTCGTAATAATCGCTCCAATTTTCTCTAATCCTCGAATCGTTTTCAACGCAAAACGGAAGCTGCGTACGTCAAACTCGGTCTGGAAAGGCGAGCGCGAGTATACCAGCTCCGCGGGGCGATAAAGAGAAAGTGTCTCGCCGGTTCCCCTGCTACATGACGATCGTGTTCGCGTGCGCACGCGAGTGCGTAGGAATTCCGTACGTAGGTCGCGCGGCGCACATACTCGCGGAAGAATAATGCAGCAGCGGCAGCGGCGACTTGCCTAATGCTTTATGAGCGAAGCGCGTGGGCCGTGCTTGCGCGAACGTGTCGTTTTTTTTTTCTTTCCTTTTTTTTTGTCGTCGTCGTCGAAGCGAAGCCATGAGCTCACTCATACGCCTATATAACCGGATCAGAAACCATGGCATGCAAAAACGTGTCCGCGGACATACACACACACACATATCTGATACTCCGGCTACTCTATCTCTCCGAGCACACATAGAGGCAATATTGTTAGCGCCGTCGGGGGATTGTTGTCGCTGTACTTGTCTATATTCTCTCTCTCTGGACTTGGCAGTTTCTTTCTGTCTTTTTCTTTTTCGTGTTGCGTTTCGTATACACAGGTACACACAATCCAATAAAGCAACGGCAGCAGCAGCAGTGTTAATCTTTCGTACCCATTTCAATTCCATTACGTATAGCTTGCAGCTACTTACTAGATCTACGACTTCGGGGCTCTGGGCAAATGCCATACGTGTATTACACGAACAAATCACATTTGTCGTATAGTGCGCGCGACGATGTCACCTGCCTGATTATTAATTAAGTCACTCACACACACACACACACACACACACATATGTACACGCGTGATGCGCCCGATACACGTATTGTCATGCAAAGCTTTTCGGTGGCGTCTCTCACGCTTCGGCCCGCCCCCCTTATAGGCCGCCCGAGAGAAATTACTTGCCCTCCCCTTGCTCGAGCCTCCCCCAACAGCTATGTCGATAATTCCAACAATTTCAATTAACGCTCGTCTCTGTATCCGTGTCTCTCTCTCTCTATCCCTCGTGTGCCTTTGGGCTTTCGAGTATCGAGAGCAACGAGAGCTGCACGCTTACATGGATTTAGATGAAATATAATTACACGCGCACGCGTGAATTGCTTCTGCTTCCTTCTTCTCTTTTTTTTATTCGCATCATGTATTATTCCATCTCCATTACTTTATGTACGTAGATCGAGTACAACCGCAAAAATTTATTCGTATACGGAAAGTTATATATTCATGAAAAATTGAACTCGTTCGCGATGGCATTTGACCGCCAAGGTACCCCCACGCGTGTGAGTACTCATCACTTACCGATATTAATATGCAATGACGGAATCTTTTAATTCCTCGATTATGTCAAGTATGTAATGTGTCCACTTGAAAGTCGACAAGCAATATCGACGGACGTATCGTATTACCTCGAGTAATGATTAATTATTTTTATCCGTAAACGCGACTCGACCTCTCAACTCTCGTGCTATACAAACGGGATGAATTTCAGATCCGCGCGAAAAATAAAAATCTCCGCGCGACCCTTGGGACGTAAGGGGCGCCTCTCTGAATATTACAATATGGACAATTTCGTCGTCGCCGAGCGAGATCTATTGCATTATATCGTATCAATAATTGACCGTATCGTTTCTCTTTGCCCGTGTGTTTAATTAATACGTGCTCGCGCATGCAAAATAAGCTGCGGCCGTTTTGAATGGAAAACGTATTACGTACGCCACCGCCGCCGCCGCCGCCGTTGCTGCTAAGTCGACTCATTGTTCCATTGTAATAAGCTTTCTGTTGTTATTATTGAGCTCGAATATGAAAAAGAGGCCTTTAGACAATTACTCAGTCTGCCTGTGTGTGTGTCTGTATCGCAAACGCAGTCGTCGACAACGACGAGAATAGAGAGAGAGACAGAGAGATCTTTCCCAATTGCGCGCTTTAGAAAATCACATTGATCATCGTCCGATATATAGGCACACGCATTTCGCGTGCAGCCTGTAATTACACGTATATAAAGTCGCTTTGCTCTCTCTCTGGGTATAGTACTCGCGCGTGGGCCGATGCAGCAGCGGATACAAAGTAAGAAAAAAAAATTCATCAATAGCTCGTTAGCATTATTACAGACAATGTGTACGTTATATCTCTATGTAAGAAAAATTTTTCGACGAATCCCACGCGCGTTCGTGTCTGTGCGCGCACTCGGCATCGCTTGCTCAATCGAACGCGTACAATAATAATGGAATGCGCACCTCTGTATATATTACTTCATCCCTTATACATCGAGCAGCTTATTATTCGAAACTGTAATCTTCTATTTTGCTCGTTATACGAGGATGTCTTTTTCACTCTTTCGGCTCTGTCGGATCGTTACAGGACGCGGCGCAGTGCACACACCCCGTCATCATCATGCGAGACGTCCCGCACACGGACATCGAGCAGCTCCTGTCCTTCATGTATCACGGCGAGGTGGCCGTCTCGCAGAATCAGCTGCCGAGCTTTCTCAAGACCGCCGAGATGCTACAGATTCGCGGACTGACGGACTCGAAGGACGACAAGGACGAGAAACAGGACAAAGTCGACATCCAGCCCATCTTCAACAACACCGTAGGAAACACAATGGTAAGTCGCACTTGGCAATTTTGCGCACGCTATCGAAAATTGCTTCGCTCGTTTCTCATTCGCGAATCGTGTGTTATAGGACAACAACACAACCAAACGGAATCACATCGACAGCGTGGACAAAAGTCCGACGTCGAAACGTCGACGAAGCTATACTCCAGAACTGACGGGTCTGACCTCGGAGCCGGTGTCGCGTCCGACCTCGGGCTCGGGCTCCGTATCGAGAATGGGCAATAACGCGGAATCGTTGCTCGGCCAGGCGCTAGAGGGTGGACCCACCATACTGACCCCGTCGAAAAAGAAGCACAGACGACGACGCTCGACGGGCGGCAACGAGTCCGACGACGGCGCCAACAGCGACGCCGACGTCTCGCTCAACGACAGCCAAATCAAATCCGAGCCCATCAACGACACCATCAACGACACCTTCGATCGATCGCTGTTTCACGGTGCCTTCATGAACCTCCAACAAGGTGCTTGTCATATTTTTTTTCTCGCTTATGATTTTTGTAATCGCTTCGAATGTAAAATTGACCGTTGGCGTTCTCTCTCTCGTCCACAGCCGCCTCGTACATGCCCGGTCCATCCGGAATTCAAGACAGTCGCATGGGTGAGTACGACTTTTGGGTCTCTTTCCTTTTTTTTCTTACTTAATCATCGCCACTATTTTTGACACCTGTTTTTTTCACGTAATATACTGACTCGTCAATGATTCAAATTCTGCGCGCTTAACCAAACAATTTTTCTAACTTTTTCGAATTCAAAAAAGCCCAAACTGCTAGCAATCTTCCCGCCATTCCTCCGTTTATATACTTGCATTTGTGCAGAAAAAGCAACTCTGGTCTCTCGTTACTTTTTTTTTTTTAACATTATTATCATTATTTTTAAAAATTTATGATTACGATTAAAATTATTTTTTATTAATGCCACAGTAAAAAATAAATCTGCAGCCACTATTATTTCTTATAATCACTACTGTTATGATTGTTTTTATTACAATGGTTATGATTATTATTATTGTTGTTGTTGTCATGATTATTATTGTTATTATTATTGTTATCATTACTGTTGTTATTATTATCATTACATTGCGTTGAATGCATGGAACTCTCGTACCCCTCTCAACGCCAACCCTCTCTTTCTCTCGCGTAATTTTCTCACTGATCCGCGAATTGTGCACCACTGCAAAAACACCTCTTTCAAACATCACTCATAATTTTTTTTCTCTCGCTCTCTCAATCTCTCTCTCTACGTTTTTTTTTAAATAAATTCACGTGTTACATCATTTCTAATTTCAACTAATAATTTGCACGTGCATATATAAATATTCATACCTCGCCCAGTTGACGATTCTTCGAAGCGAATTTGCGTCGTGGGGTCGACGTGCGTTCGAGATAATCGGTACGCTGCTTAGAGAGATAAAGAGGACAAAAATTTTGACAGATAAACAGAGAAAGAGAAAGAGTGAGAGGGAGAGAGACATACAAAATCAAAGTCAAAAATGTAATTTCATTTTCTATTGCATCTTTTTCTATTGATCGTGCTGGTGTGTATCTATCGTATTGGTGGTGGGAGGGGTAAAAAGGAAGCTTGCGATTATGTAACGATATGAAATATCTCAATTACAAACATGATAATAATAACTGGTGAGCGAAAATAAATTTAAAAAGAAAAAAAACGGAATAAAAAGAGTGAGAGAGCGTGTGCGTATGCTTGAAAGTTAGAAAAAGCTCAAATCGAGAGATACAGATATAGAGATAGAGATAGAGATAGAGAGAGAGAAAAAAAATAAAATTAGTCAATGATACCCGTAAAATCGAGAGTGAGAAAGAGAGAGCGAGAGAGTGAAAGAGAGCGAGAGAAAGAGAGCTAGTTTAGTGTTTAAGGACGCTCTCGGGAGGCTCGAGATGGCTGAGGACTGAAATTGCCTGCTGGTTCCAGGGAGGTGGCAGCCCTCCGCTGACTGCGGCGAGGTTTCGGCATCGTGCAGTGGCTCTGGCGGCTCCTGGCAGCAGCAGGCCACCACGGCGGGGGCCTCCGTCGTCATCCAGCAGCAGCAACAGCAGCAGCAGTTGAACCAGCAGGCTCTCAACGTCCTCAGCAGCCTCAACCCTGAGCAGCTCAATAGTCTGGTTCAGCAGAAACTGCAGCAGCAGCAGCAGCAGCAACAGCAGCAGCCAGCCGGACACGATTTCAATATGATGCTGCAATCGTGCGCTAAAAAGAAGATGGAAGAGCTCGCGTTGATGCAACCCTACACGCAGCAGCAGCAGCAGCAACAGCAGCAGCTCATGACGGACATGCAGACCAAGCCCAAGTGCCCGGAGTGCGGCAAGATATACTCGAACAATTCGAATCTGAAGCAGCACATCGTGAACGTGCACACGATCCAGACCGAGTACGTGTCCTGCCACGTGTGCGGCAAGCAGTTCAAGACCAAGCAGTATTTGCAGATACACCTGCTGTCGATGCACGGCATCAGGAAGCGCAAAAGTTATCCGGTCTATCAGCCGAGCCTCGTGCAAGCTCAAGCTCTGCCCACGGTGGCTGCGGTCTATCAGCAGCAATCGACTTCTCAACAGCAGCAGCAGCAGCAGCAGCAGCTGCAGCAGCATCAAGCTCTGCCCGAAAGGTGGAGCAGCTCCAGCGGCAGCGCCCTCGAGGACAAGCACCACTGATACGGCTGAGCGAGCGCTGATTTTCGCTCCCTCTCTCTCTCGCGATTTTAGCTCGGCCAACTACTACTACTACCGCTACTACTGATTATATACGATAAATTGCGCGCGTCTATGTACACACTCGGAGAGAGAGAGTGACGTGCGTTTGTGTAGCATAGCCTGTATATATTACATATAGGAGTCGTCGTCGCCCGCCCACTGCGAATATAAGTAAAGTATAAGCAGCGCAGGCATCGGTCGCGACTGTGTCGCATTATACGATTCATATATTTGTGTGTGTATAAGTGCATGCATGTGCCGTATGTACGTACTGCGCGCCTAGCACTGCGCTGGCTGTGCGCGCCTGACTGTATGCTGTGTGTCTATATAAGCGTGATATTATAGATGCGCGAAAGTGGCGCGCAGAGAGACAAGCGGAGTTAGACAGAGAGAGAGAGAGCAAACTCGCGCGTATTGATCTCTCTCTCTCTCTCTCTCTCTCTCTCTCTGTCGGGCGCGCAGTCACTCTATGATTCAACAAACAACGCCTTAAGACCTCCCCGCGCTCGCACCTACACGCACACACAAACGCCCACCGTGTGTTGGGCGAAGAAGACACCCCTTCCTTTTCCATCGGCAGTGGCAGCAGCACACTGCTCTCTCTGTACTACTACTACTACTACTACTACTACTACTGCTACTCGACGCTCCGCGCGACTGATAACTCTGTAAAGTTCGCTATCGTACTTTTTCTTCGGTCTCTTCTCTCATTCTTTTCCTCCTTTCTCATCTCTCTCTCTCTCTCTCTCTCTGTCTCTCGCTCACTCAATATCAGTTCTCTCTCAGCTTCCCCACCACCAGCCTCTAACAATTTACCGGAAGAGAGAATAAGATTTCGCGCCCCCTCTCGAACCGTACGTACTACTCCTCTTTGCTGCTGCTGCTGCTCGGAGATTTCTCTCCGCATGCCACGCACCATCGTATCCGTGTGTGTGTGTGTTGTACGTGCTCGCGCCCCTCCCCCTCTCTCTATGTGCTACCGCCGCCGCCGCCGTCGCGCACACACGGAATTCACTGTGTGCTGTGCGCTCTAACCGAAGATTATTTCACCACACACACATGCACGACTATATATGTACAGCAGCATATTCGCATACACACACATAGACGAGCGATCGTTGTGTTCCCTACTACTATACTACTAGTGATGCTGATACCGCTTGTAAGGCATCCGCCCCTTGGTAGATTGCGCTCATCGCGCGAATTCAGCAGCCCCCTTCGTGCGCGCGCCCGTGTGCGATTCTCGACCGAAAAGCCAGTTACTTTTTTTTTTACTTTACTTTAACTTTGCTTCTCTTTGCCTGGCCTTTTAACTTTGCCAAGGGATACGATCTAACGCGCGTTAAAATTGCCTCTTCTTCTTTTTTTTTCAATACTTTGAGTACGACCAGATCCGGCGAATAAAAAAAAAGAGTTGGAAAAAGTGACTTTATTCGTTTTCAACGAAATCAGTAAATATATGTGTATATGCAGCTGAAATTCGCAACGACAGATAAGACAGTAAAAGGCTCGAATGCGAGACAACCGGCCGACGTATAGAGGACGGCGTGACAAAAGCAATAGCTTATAAATAGTTGCTCAGCTGGTACTCGCACGCGCACGGTATACGACGCGTGTGTGCAGTATTGTATGCACCGCACACACACACACACACACACACGCCTACGAGAGAGCGCCTAGTTCGAGCCCACGAGCTCTGTAGTTCGAACTGCGTAAACAGGGCCCTGTGCACGACGACGAGCTTACGTTATAGCCACACGCACACAACCGCTGTCCGAGCAACGAGCAAACATACAGCCCGGAATCTCTTGGAGCGAGGATTAATCACGTCTGGCTGCGCGTAAATACCGCCCGACTGCCATTGTGTGTGTGTGCGCGTGTGTGTCCCGTTTGTCGCGCGTCGATAAATCCCCGGAAAATTTCCGCGTCTTTTTTGGAAAAAAAAGAACGCGACGAAACAATAATAAAAATCAACGAGCTCGGGGACGAGGAGAATAATGATCATGCTAAATCCGTGTAAATCGGTAGCGCGCGGGGCGATTACGCTCTGCCTTCGTGTAAATGTTTCTGAGCACGAGTCGAGCATCAGCGCGGTAGTAAAAAAAAACGCGATCAAAAGGATCGGAAAAATACTTGAGCAGGTGACGCGCCGAACAGATTTTTATTGTACCATACCGAGTCATTTTTTTTTTTCCAGCGAATTTCGATGTAATTTATTCTTCTCGTTGTACGACTCTTAAATTGTAAACGTTCGGCGCACGCATGGGGCTTGCGATGACTTTTCGTCCGTCTCTGGATAGCCCTGCGCGCGAGGTAAGGCGATTCTCCCGGCGTCCATTATAACCCACACAGAGAGCAGAGGGTCGAAAGTCAGAGAGAGAGAGGAGAGATGGAGACTCGTCGAGATTTTCTCTTTTGCGGGTGACACACGGAAATAAGATCAGTTCGCTCGTGGATGAAAGGGGTCGTTGGCTCCTTACGCCGTCCTCGGCCCCTCTCTTATACTATCTGCTAGCTCGGGTGGGCTGGTGCGCGCGCGAACGAGAGAGAGAGAGAAAATAAGCCTCTTTCGCATTTGAGAATACGTAATATTCTTCTGTGGAAATTTCACTTGAACTCTTGCGAGTCCAGTCGCAGAGACGCGCAACCCCACGACTCGCTCGTCCGTCTTTTTTCTCCATTTTGCACAGTGCCACCAACGCAGGAGCGAGCTTTCGCACTTACGATTCGATTCGTTTCTCCCTTTTTTTTATTTTTTTTTTACTTTATTTCGCCTCTGCACCGCTGCGTACGTTGTACATATCGAGAATTTCGACACATGTGCGCAGCCAGCCACCCTTGCCTCCTTTGCCTCCGGCAGAAGGAAATAAGAGAAAATATGTTTGATATTGATTCGGATGAGTTTTGCTCTCCCTCTCTGTCTCTCGTATCTATCCTTCACTTTCTCTTTCGCAATACGTTTCATACATAATTTTTGCTCGTGCTTCTTTTTTACCCTACGTACCTATATACCGCATCTTTTTGTAAGCTGCGATGTATTTCACGTTTCGAGTTGAAATATCGAGAAGCACCAGACGCGATCGCCGCCTCGCATGTGTACGCGCGCGCGCCTATCTACCCCCTTTTGCGAAGTGCTACTACTACACCCGCAAACGAGTCGGGCATATTTTAAGAAGGGTTCGAAGGCCCACCCTGAGCTAACGATTATTTGCATATTTATCACGATATGATTTATGTGCTCTCTCTCGCTGCTGCTGCTGTTGCTGCTGCTGAATTCGGCCAACAATTTTTTAGCTCGCTTTTAATCGAAAAAAAAGGCAGACAAGAAAAATACGTATAAACGATAGCTTCTTTGGCGGAGAAAGATAATAATAATCGAGCTTATTGGGCCGTGAAGGCCGCGAGCACAAACTTTATACTGCAGCAACGCGCAGAGCTACAATCGAGCTTGGATTTTTTGCTTTTTTTCTCTCTTTCTCTGAAAGTACAGTCTATATTTTTTAAGACTCAATTATACTTTCGATCTGTACGACGCTCTCGAATCTCCCTATTGGCTTTAATCAATGCTTGCTGCACGCACAAGTTCACAGCGATCGAATCCAAGTGGTTGGCGAATTTCAGACTTTCCGATTAATTGAAAGGACGCATCTGTCATAATGGGAAATCGTTGTATGCATTGTGTAGGCTATAGAAACAAAAAGACGAGCGCATAATATCTTCGATTAGAGCTGAAAACGCACACATATAAATCTCAGTTCGAGACCGTCATAAATAAATATCAAGCCAAAGAGATCGCGTGACGAATGCGTGAAAAAAAAGCTCGTGTCTCGAGTCGTGCATATACGGGTGCGTACCACCAGACACGTACGTAGACGTGCAAAAGAAGCAAAAAAAAAAGGAAAAAAAAAAACTAGAAAAAAAGGGAGCGAAAGGCGATTGTAAAAGGGGGTTGGTTGGCAAAGCACTAAGGCAAGTCTCGGCTCTTGGTGGAAATGGGCGAGGCGGCGGCGGCAGCGGCGTTGGCGGTGGCGGTGTGAGGCGTCGGCGGCGGTGTGAGGCGTCGGCGGCGGGCGCGCGCTCTGGAGATTCGCAGGAATGATAGTCATATAACGAAGAGAAAGAAGGAGCGAGCGCGTGTGCGAGGCCGATGGATCAATACCCGTTGCGCTGCTTAGATACCTTCCTTCATTGCTCGATGGGCAAAGAGATGGGAAAGGATGAGAAAGAGAGAGAGAATGAGAGGGAAAGAGACAGATACACCATAGATAGACGAAAAGAGAGAAAGAGTAGGATTTCTTCCGGTATGAACGCACATAGACACGCACACACGCGTGCGGAACGGTGCTGTTGTCCCCCCGTGGAGAATTTAACCAATGACTTACGCACCACCACCACCACCACCACAATTACACACAAACGTTAAATACACACATATACGTGTATATCCTGCAATCGGGCACGCCCTGCTACGAGAGCGATACGAGAGTGTGATATAGTTTCAAATTAAGCAAAGACCAAAAAAATAAAGTAGTGAAAACAAAAAAAATCGGCTGAAAAAAAGTTAAAAACGATTTATATGCATGCCTGAGTAGCCAGTTGAATTGTCTGCGCGCGAGCAATGGCGGGAGAGATGCTGCACGCGCGTTGTTTGCAGAAAAATAAAAAAAAAATAAATAAAAAAAATAAAAAAGTAAAAAAAAAAGCTGCAGGGCTCTGACGACGATGATCGCGAAGCGAAAAATGTCTCCTTGCAAAAAAAACAAAAGCTCTGAGCTGTGGCACTGGTTGTTGCCTGGTTGTAGGGTCCTTGCCGGCGTCAATGGCCATCGGTGTCAGCAACAAGGACAGTCAGCATCAGCAGCTCCATCACCACCGCCGGACGTCGCAGTCGTCGTCGTCGACGGCTGTGGAGAATTTCGCCCGTCTTTACAGCGCCCTGAGCAGCGCCACGGCAGCCGCTGCCGTGGGTCGACAGCAGCAGCAGCAGCAGCAGCAGCACTGCTCGCAACAAGCTAGCAACAACGTCGCCGAGGAGCTGAGGCCCGTGTGCCGCTACTGCGGGCGCAGCTACTCCTCGCCCTCGAATCTGCGCCAGCACGTGAAAAACGTACACTCGAACTGGCCGCCGCCCGACACCTGGCCCCAGTGCAACGTGTGCGGCAAGCGCTGCAAGACCAAGCACTACCTCATCAATCACCAGCTGCAGGCCCACGGCATCCACCAGAGGCCCAGTCTGGCCGGTGGCGGTGGCGGTGGTGGCCAGCAGCAGCAGCAGCCCCACCCGACGCGCTGAGTCGACGTTACTCGTACGATTCCCTCCGCGATCGTGACCACCACCCCCCCGCGCTATCGGGCTGACTCGTGACGGACGAGGTTCGGTCCCCGCCACCACCATCGCTTCTTTCGCTTCTTACGTTGTTGTTGTTGTTGTTGATTGATTGACCTCATCATAGCCTTTTGCACCATCTTCATCCTCACAATCACTCAACACGTACACATACATAAAACACACACACAGTTTAATAACACACTTGAAAAGAGAGAAAGAGAGCGAGAGAAAGAGAGAGATACGAAGAGACATATAGATAAATAAATAGTTAGAGTTGAGAGGTTGAGAGAGATATCGAGAGATTTCGAGAGAGAGAGAAACAAACAAAAATCGGGCTGCTTGTGTCGTTGGAGGTGTGTAACATTGTGGTATGGTGGTGGTTGCAGATCAGAAGTACGACGAGCCCAGTGAGACCGCTGCTGCTCATGCCGCTGCTGCTGTTTCTGCCAACCACGCGGCCTACCACCACCCCCACAGCAGTCAACAGCAGCAGCAGCAGCTGCACGCCATGACGAGGCTGCTGCGCCAACACCAGCAGCAGCAGCAGCAGCGCCAACAACTTCAACATCAGAGTCAACAGCAGCAACGTTATGGTCAGCAGCAGCAGCCAAGATCGTCCGCAGGTTTCGCTTGTCCTCTCTGCTCTAGGGTGACCCCCGACATAGGCGACATGAGGGCGCACCTGGACCAGCACTATCCCCGCGACTCGCCCATGTGTCCGGTCGCCTCCTGCGCCAAGACCTTCTCCCATCCCAATAGCGTGCGCAATCACATGCGCCTCAAGCACCCGCTCCAGTGGGACCAGATCAAGACTCTCAGATGGACCTACGTCTGATGACGATAATCTCTTGTATCGGCCTAAAGGACTATCGATATGCCGCTTACCACCTATAGATACCTCTCGTATATATGTAACGACGACATCGCGACGTCGACATTCTTTTTCTTTCTTATATATTTGTCTTATAAAAGAGACGAGCGACGACGCCTCCTATAATCACTATTATGTCTCCGGCTTTGCTGTGATATATGTTATGTAAACTATCTATTTATCCTTGTATGTATAAAAATTGTATGACATTTATATAATTATATATAGTCTATACTTATACACGTAAAACGCAGAACACAAATACAATATATATATACAATATTGATTATATTATTTATGCTCTTGCGAGCGGCTAGTGACATACCGATTATACTCGATTATTACATTTACGTGTACTTATTGCTATCGTAGAGGTAGTCTCTGATACACGCATTACAAACACACAATAATGCATACTCTTTCTGCGTCGACCGAATCGCTGAAAGGACGCACCCGATTACGTTTGTTATTATTTCGTCGCGAACGCGACACGCGTTGGCGCGCGGCTTCCTTCCTTCGAAACTTGCTACCCCCGCCCCGGAACATGTTCACGTGAGTATATACGACAACAACAAGCAAAAAAAAAAATAAATACAGCAACCATCGTGGCCACGATGCAATAAACTTACGCGCACATGTAAATTATTAGCGATCGAAGCGCTGTACACAATACCTAGCGAGCTAAGTTATAGGCTAAAGAGAGATAAAAGTCCCCCCCCCTCCCGAAAAAAAGCAAATACCTCGTATATTTTCAACTTTGCAGCGGACACGCGCGAAAAATATATCGTATAAATAAAAATATCGTACAATAGATACTCTATAGAGATTGTAAGAAGTAGAACGCGATCCATTGCATGCCTAAAATAAAATATTAAAAAAAAAAAAAAAACGATGAAAATGTATATTCAATATGTAAGAGTAGTTAAGGGAGAGAACGAATGAAAAATAACGTTTGCGACGATTAATAATCGGGCGAGAGAAAGACGAAGAAAAAGTTGGGAAAGAAAGCAAAACAATGTTCCTCGAAGCTGAGTAAGCCAGCCTTACGCTACAAAATTAGCTTTATAAAAAAAAAAAATAAAACTTAGAGATTCCTAGATTATTATATCGCGTATAATGGAGTAATCACTCTTAATTTATATAGAAATACTATATATTATGAAAACGAGCGAATTATAGATATATATAAATGAAAAATAAATTTATAAATATAGATGAATTATTTTACGAGACTGCGATATTCATTGTGAGAAAAATAAAGTGAGTGAGACACGCGCGCGACACTTGTTTTTTGAGGATTTTCTACGTTTAACTTTAAATTCAACAATCATATATATGTGTGAGCTTGAAAACGTAAAATGTATTACGATTGTAATACTTTGTAGATGTGATTTAGTTTTTTTGTAATAAGATTAATTTTTATTTTTTTACTAAAAATTCCCCCCCGATCATTGGTCAGTATTTTGGCAAAATTTACAAACAAAAAAATATGTCCCTGAGTGAATGAGAAAAAGTTTGTACATACGTGTGCGTGAAAGACAGGAGAAAAGTTACTATAATTGTAGAAATTAGACAAGTAAGTTCATTATAAATGAGTTATAAAAAATGTTTTAAACGCCGTGTGTTGAATGACTCGTGTGTGTGTGTGTGTGTGTGTGTGTGTGTGTGTGTGTGTGTACATACAATGTATAAAAATATAAAAATGTTTGGCATTTGTTATTTCAACGCGCGTCGCCTAATGTGTAAGCAAAGGGTCTGATATACCAAAAATAACGCACCAAAACGCGTAGACCCGTGTGTCTGCGTGTGTGCCCTCGTAACAGGCGCGCAACGAGCTCCCGTTCATAATCCGCGCGTATACGTGTTGCGTCGAAGGAAATTATTTTTTTTGTTTTTTTTTTGTTTTGTACTTTTCGCGCGCGCGCGCGACACGCGTTGAAAATGAGTATGATACAGTGGTGTACTCGAAGCGAATGATATATATATTCGAAGATATTGGCGCGCATCCGTGTTGTGTTGTCTCCGATACCGGAAAAAATAAAGAGGCGCCAGAGTAACAAAAAAAAAGGTCTATTTTCGAATATAATCTACACACGATTAATCTTCGCAATCAAACTATAATGTACGCGTTACGGTAGCAAATGACAAAACAGTATGCATATGAAAAAAAAAACACAAGTTATATTCTATAGAGAGCGAATTGTGGTGCTTTATTTTAGAAATCTAAAAGAGCAGAATATATTAAGGGAAACAAAATAGTAAAGTCATATTAAAAAACAAACGCGCAAAGAGTACGATAAGAATTATCGACGCCAGAGTTATATGAAATTGTAATTATTTCAATAATGCTTTGTATAATAAAAAAAAATAGGTATCTAAAAACTGAAAGTTCGTCACTTTTTGATTGACCCAAATGCATGCTTTATAGAAAATAAAAAAAAAATTAATAAAATGAAAAAAAATCCATTAGCCTCTAGCGCTATTTTCCTTCTCAACGTAACATTTACGTTTCTCTGCACGAGAGGATACATGCAGTCTGGGCTTAATACTAACATCGCCATGCAGCTGCTCTGCGGGTTTGAACAATTCTTACAGTTAACTCTATCGTAGATTAGACATATATTCCAGAAAGACATTCCCTCCCCCCCAACGATCGTCGATTAAATTTCATTCGTGTCTCGTTTTTCTCTTGCAGTAATAGGACGCAACGGAGAGCAACATCCTCGCATACGCGCTACCGATCCCCGGCCGTGCCCCAAGTGCGGCAAGGTCTATCGATCGGCGCACACGCTGCGCACCCACATGGAGGACAAGCACACCATCTGCCCGGGCTATCGCTGCGTGCTCTGCGGCACCATCGCCAAGTCCAGGAACTCTCTGCACTCGCACATGTCTCGGCAGCATCGCGGCATCAGCACCAAGGACCTGCCGGTGGTGCCCATGCCGGCGCCCTTCGATCCCGAGCTGGCGGTGCGCCTCTTCGCCAAGGCCGGCCACATCGTCGACATCAACGAGCTGCGCGCGAGAGCCAGTCCGACGAACGGCGGCGGAGGCGGCGGCGCTGGCGGGGGAGGCGCCACCTCCTCCTCTTCCTTGGGACGGCGACGATACGACACGCAGTCGATAGACGACGACGACGGGGAAATGAACGCCGACGACCCTCAAGATTTAACGATGGGCGTGACCAACCGGTAAGTGAAATTCACCTAGTCACCGAGAGAGAAATTCTTTTCCCTCGACCCGAACGTTTCGTGTAATTTTTCGTTTCTCTTTCCCCCCCCCGCAGTTATGCCACGTCCACGCCCAACAGCATCTTGAACAAGTTCAATTACACGCAGAACGGACTGCATCAGACGCCTCAGCACGGCGCGGTGTCTTCCGCGAGTGCCAGCAACGGTTGTCTGCCACCGTCCATGTCGCAATTACCAGCGGGACTGGCCGCCTTTAATCCGCTGTCGAGCCTGCAAGGCCAACCGAACGGCTCGAATCCGATCGTCGAGTCGTTCCTGCAGCTCTTGGCCGATAACTCGAGCTTGTCCGCACTCGGTCAGCTGGGCCCG